TGGTGAGCGTGTGCACACATGTACAGAGGACACACTGCCGATGACAGCGGTGAGAGTGTGCACACGCATGTACAGAGGACACACTGCTGATGACAGCGGTGAGCGTGTGCACACGCATGTACAGAGGACACACTGCTGATGACAGCAGTGAGCGTGTGCACACGCATGTACAGAGGGGACACTGCTGATGACAGCGGTGAGCGTGTGCACACGCATGTACAGAGGACACACTGCTGATGACAGCGGTGAGCGTGTGCACACATGTACAGAGCACACACTGCTGATGACAGCGGAGCGTGTGCACACATGTACAGAGGACACACTGCTGATGACAGCGGTGAGCGTGTGCACACGCATGTACAGAGCACACACTGCTGATGACAGCGGTGAGCGTGTGCACACACATGTACAGAGCACACACTGCTGATGACAGCGGTGAGCGTGCACACGCATGTACAGGGGACACACTGACGATGACAGTGGTGAGCGTGTGCACACACACGTACACGCATGTACGGAGGAGACTGTGGGTGGGAACGGCGAGCATGTACTCAGTGAGGCTGGTGGTCATTGGGTGAGGAAGTCGGCCCTCCTGCCAGGTGTCCAGCCCCGGCCTGTGGGGCAGCTCCTGCCAGGTGTCCAGCCCCGGCCCGTGGGGCAGCCCCGGCCCATGGGGCAGCTCCTGCCAGGTGTCCAGCCCCAGCCCATGGGGCAGCTCCTGCCAGGTGTCCAGCCCCGGCCCGTGGGGCAGCTCCTGCCAGGTGTCCAGCCCCGGCCCGTGGGGCAGCCCCGGCCCATGGGGCAGCTCCTGCCAGGTGTCCAGCCCCAGCCCATGGGGCAGCTCCTGCCAGGTGTCCAGCCCCGGCCCGTGGGGCAGCTCCTGCCAGGTGCCCAGCCCCGGCCCGTGGGGCAGCTCCTGCCAGGTGCCCAGCCCCGGCCCGTGGGGCAGCTCCTGCCAGGTGTCCAGCCCCGGCCCATGGGGCAGCCCCGGCCCATGGGGCAGCTCCTGCCAGGTGTCCAGCCCCAGCCCATGGGGCAGCTCCTGCCAGGTGTCCAGCCCCGGCCCATGGGGCAGCTCCTGCCAGGTGTCCAGCCCCGGCCCGTGGGGCAGCTCCTGCCAGGTGCCCAGCCCCGGCCCGTGGGGCAGCTCCTGCCAGGTATCCAGCCCCGGCCCGTGGGGCAGCTCCTGCCGGGTGTCCAGCCCCAGCCCGTGGGGCAGCTCCTGCCAGGTGTCCAGCCCCGGCCCATGGAGCAGCCCCAGCCCGTGGGGCAGCTCCTGCTGGGTGTCCAGTCCCGGCCCGTGGGGCAGCTCCTGCCGGGCGTCCAGCCCCGGCCCGTGGGGCAGCTCCTGCCGGGTGTCCAGCCCCGGCCCGTGGGGCAGCTCCTGCCAGGTGTCCAGCCCCGGCCCGTGGGGCAGCTCCTGCCGGGCGTCCAGCCCCGGCCTGTGGGGCAGCTCCTGCCAGGTGCCCAGCCCCGGCCCGTGGGGCAGCCCCGGCCCGTGGGGCAGGCAGCCCCGGCCCGTGGGGCAGCCCTGGCCTGTGGGGCAGCTCCTGCCAGGTGTCCAGGCCCGGCCCGTGGGGCAGCCCTGGCCTGTGGGGCAGCTCCTGCCAGGTGTCCAGCCCCGGCCCGTGGGGCAGGCAGCCCTGGCCCATGAGGCCGTGGGGGTGGGCGGGTCTCCTTGGGCCACAGGGCACTCTCCAGTCACACGTCGGCATTTCCAAGACCCATCCGCACCCCGCATCCTCCGCCACGGGCCATCCATCTCCCCAGGCTGCATGACCGCATGGCTGAGGCATGCTCGAGCCCCCGCGGGCAGCCTGCGCCCGGGCGACCCCTGCCCCCGCCGTCCGCCCCGGGAGGAGGACGGGACGCTCGCTGCTGGCCGACCAGAGCCCCGGGGACGTGGACCCCGCGGCCGAGCTCCTGCCGGCAGCCTGTCCGATGACAGAGGTGTGCTTTGCATTTTTGACGCATGGATTTGGTAAACTGTTTTCTTACTTTCTCCTAGACATCGCCTGGTGGTTTTACCAGTATCAGAGAGGTAAAAAAAGTTTAACTTCCTTGGTCACCTCACGTGCAAAAGAAGAGTTTCTCCATCAAGTGTGTGTTTTGCAAATTAGTCTCACTGGCCTCTTCCTGTGCCCGTGTGAGCACACTTGCCTTGTATAGAAGTAGCTGGGAATGTTGCTTAAAAGATGCTTTGGTCCTCCTGAGAAACTACCGTATTTTCCTTTCCTGGCCCCAGGACCTCTGAAACCTCACTCGAGCTGATTCACAGCACAAGTTTAGTCACCGCGAACAACTCTGGGCCGGAATCTCTGTGATCCCTTGCTCCCCTTGGGTGATGACCTTCCATCTGTCCACAGTTTGGGAGGCAGATGTTTGCATCTGCGTGTATTATTTTTCTATGATCTGCTTCAAGTCTGCTGAGCAACAAAGAGAGGTGTGTTTAAATAGAAGAAATGGAGGGTCCGTAACGCAGGGTCAAACGCCCCTGGGCCAGGCCAGGACCATAAATGGACTGAGAGCGCCACGGGGCAGCGGGGCCCTGGAGGCTTGTGTGCCTGCCGTGGCCAGTCCCCGCCCAGCAGCGGGACGGTTACCGGTTACCCGGGGGGAGTCTGAGCCACCCACAGGCCAAATCATCCCATTTCCAAACAAACCCAGAAATCAAACCTTGGATTTGAATCTCCTGAATGCACACAGACTACACACAAGCAATATATAGGAAAGAGCGTATTAGCGGCCAGTGTTCAGAACACAGTACTGAGCCTACGTGTAGACAAGTATGTGTACATACACAGGGCTAAGTGTGAGCGGGCAGGTTTGAGGGCCACGCTCAACACCAGTGAGCAGAGGCGTACAGCGAAGGGTGAACTTTGACGGCCCCGAACGTCCACAGGCAGGCATTCCTCCAGACGTTGAACCCAAAGGCCTGGATGTCCTCATGTCACTGACAACTCGAGGGTGGCAAACAAGCAAAGAGAAACAGCACCCGGCCCTGGGCACGCTGCCCAGTGCTGACCGGGGGCCTGCCTCTGGACAGCAGCAAGCCCCTTATTAATAAAGCCCAGTTCCACCTTAGGGAGTCTCGATAATTAGTGCGTTTTTAATGAGGCTGATGGGGCGCAAAAGTGTCGTGTCTGAATCAGAATTACCTTACCCTGCTCAAAGAAGTGAGTCACCGGAAGGTGAGGGAGGGAACAGTACTGCGAAAAAAAGTCCAGCCTGTGCGTCGGTGAGCCCGCCCGGCCTGCGTGTCGGTGAGCCCGCCCGGCCTGCGTGTCGGTGAGCCCGCCCGGCATGCGTGTCGGTGAGCCCGCCCGGCCTGCGTGTCGGTGAGCCCGCCCGGCCTGCGTGTCAGTGAGCCCGCCCGGCATGCGTGTCGGTGAGCCTGCTCGCCCCCTCCCTTGTGTGCCCATGGCATTTGGCTGCCTGTTCTTTCCTTTCCTGTCTTCCTGTCAGTGGTGGGTCTTGAACTCGGGGCCTGGGCGCTGTCCCTGAGCTCTTCAGCTCAAGGCGAGCGCTCCACCCCTTGAGCCACAGCGCCACTTCCAGTTTTCTGGTGGTTCATTGGGGCAGGAAAGTCCATGAGACTCTTATCTCCAATGAACCACCAGAAAACCGGAAGTGGCGCCCTGGCTCAAGTGGTAGAGCGCTCACCTTGAGCTGAAGAGCTGAAGGACAGCTCCAGGCCCCGAGTTCAAGCCCCACCACCGACAGGATGGACAGGAATGAGTTTAAGATAGACAGATATGCACGTCATCATTTACATTAGTCGTGGAGTTTTCTCCTTTCCTTCTCTTCTCTTTCCTTTTCTTTCCGAGACTTGGCCCTGTGATTTACAAAGCACCCTTCGTGTTTAGGTCATTGCTACTTAACTTGTTAGCTACAAACCATGATAACGAGAGGCCTGCAAGAATGATGGCCACCGGCGGCGGCGGCATGTGTCAATGGGGCTTCTTACCCGCCCTGGGCCCTCGGCCTCACTCCCAGCAGCATGAGTGTCCCACGTGGGCGAGAGCACTCAGGAACGGTGGAGCCTTACCCGAGCGTCCACGTTTCTGTGGGAATCTGTGCAGGACAAAAACTTGAACGGATTCCTTTGGTGTGGGATCCAGGTTTGAGGAAGTGACAGGTGGCAGAGGAAATCGAGCCTGGCCGGAGTAGAGAACCATGTAGGATGCCCTGCGCCTGACAGCCCGCTGTGTGTGTGTGCGTGCGTGTGCCTGTGTGTGTGTGTGCAGGAGCTCAGCCGGGCCTCACTCTGGCTTGTGTGTGTGTGTGTGCACGCACGTGCGTGTGTGTGCATGTGTGCATGCATGTGTGCGTGTGTGCATTGTGTGCACATGTGCGCGTGTGTGCACACGTGCATGTGCATGCGCGTGCATGTGTGCATGTGTGCATGTGTGTGTGCCTGTGTGTGTGGTGCCCTCCTGACTCTCCACCATCAGAGGCTGGGCAGGCCCGGGAACCCTCTGACCCTTGGGTGGGAGACGGGCAGCTTCTTGTTTTAAGGACACTCCCTAACCTCCTCACTGCGGGGAGGAGAGGAGCAGTTCCACCTCCGCTCTCCACACCTGAGCACCCTTCAAATGCCTGAGAAGCTGCCGTTTCTACAAAGCAGTTCCCATGTGAGTCATCTTCCTGGCTCTTAACGGACACCGCACAGATCCCACAAAGCAGTATTTCGTGTGTCCTCTCCTGAACTTCACGCTGAGTTCATGGAGACAGCTCACTCTGCCTCTCTGAATCCATTGGCCCCCTTTGCTGTTGGAGGGTGCTTCTAACGCCCCCCACGCCTGCACCTTCAGGAGGCTCCAGGTGGCGATTTGAGCTTGCAAGAGGATGTGCTGAAAGGGAGGATGTGTCCAGGAGAGGGCAGGGCAGTTAGTGACCAGGAGGAGAGGGGACAAGGTGGGGAGACCTCTGCCCCCCCCCCCGGGAAGTCCAGGCTGGTGTGACACAGACCACGCTACAGGGCCATGCTCTGGTTCCAGATAAGATCGAAGATGAGCTGGAGATGACCGTGGTCTGCCACCGGCCCGAGGGCCTGGAGCAGCTCGAAGCCCAGACCAACTTCACCAAGCGGGAGCTCCAGGTCCTTTACCGAGGCTTCAAAAACGTAAGACGCACCTAGAAGCAGGAGACCCAGGGAGGCGGGGATGGCCACCCCCCCCCGGGGGCGGGGGGCGGGGGGCGTGCGTGTGTGCGTGTGTGTGTGTGTGCAACTATCCACCTGCCACAGGGATTTCCCACGCGCACAGTTGTAGGAGAATGCCAGCCCAGGCACCCCCCGACCCTCCTCCCTTCCGCAGGAGTGCCCCAGCGGCGTGGTCAACGAGGAGACATTCAAGCAGATCTACGCTCAGTTCTTCCCCCACGGAGGTGAGTGCCCCCCGGCCCAGGCCTCCAGCCAGCAGCCGTCTGGTCCTCCGTCCACCGTGCCTCCGGACCACAGGGCGGGGGAGGAGGGGCGCTGGAAGAGGTGGCGCACGTCAGAGCTCTCTGGAACCTCAGTGGAAAGGCGCTCTGAGGATGGGCCGGGACCCAGGTCCTCTCTCGGGCATTACCCCTCCCCCGCCCCTCCCCCAGACGCTGCCGTCTGGACCCAGGTCCTCTCTCGGGCATTACCCCCCCCCCCGCCCCTCCCCCAGACGCTGCCGTCTGGACCCAGGTCCTCTCTCGGGCATTACCCCTCCCCCGCCCCTCCCCCAGACGCTGCCGTCTGGACCCAGGTCCTCTCTCGGGCATTACCCCTCCCCCCCCGCCCCTCCCCCAGACGCTGCCGTCTGGACCCGGCTTCCAGCTTGCCAGGCAGGTGCTCTGCCGCCTCTCTAGCCATTGCAGCCTGGGCTGGCCAGACCCCGCTCCTCCTGACCTCAAACCACAGCGCTCCTCACCTCCGCCTCCAAAGCAGCCTCCCGTCCCCGCTCCCAGCCTCTCTTCCCTCCACCTCCTCTCTGGGGCCTCCAGGCTTCACCCCCCTCCCCTCCTTGTCTTGTAGACGCAAGCACCTACGCGCACTACCTCTTCAACGCCTTCGACACCACCCAGGCAGGCTCCGTGAAGTTTGAGGTACGGGCGTCCCCGTCCACCCTGGGAGCCCCTGCGGGGAGGGCTGGGCTCCCAGATGCTCTCAGTCAAGTCAGAGAATCACAATTAACCAGTGCCCCATGAAGACAGCAGGTGGGAGAGGACACTTCCCTGCCCCCAGGGAAGTAAGAGCCTCCTGCTCGGTGGACCCTCGCCTCGCACTAACCCATTTCCCCGCCCGGCCACCTGCCAGCTGGGCTTTAGGATTTACCACTGCATTAGAACAGGCAGACAGATTGCGTTCAGAATACTGGGGAGTGGGCAGGGAGGGGTTTGAACTCGGGATGCTCCCGCAGCTCATGCTCACAGCTATTAGAGGAGACGGCCACACTGTCGCAAGCAACCGCCACCGCGGCAGCTGAGCCGGAGGCCGGGCCGCAGCCCCAAGCTGGTGGGGCAGGCAGGCAGGGCGGGGCGGGCAGGGTGGGGCAGGCAGGGCGGGGCGTGCAGGGCGGGGCGGGCAGGGTGGGGCGGGCAGGGCGGGGCAGGCAGGCAGGGTGGGGCGGGCAGGGCGGGGCAGGCAGGCAAGGTGGGTCGGGCAGGGTGGGGCGGGCAGGGCGGGGCAGGCAGGCAGGGTGGGGCGGGCAGGGCGGGGCGGGCAGGGCGGGGCGGGCAGGGTGGGGCGGGCAGGCAGGGTGGGGCGGGCAGGGCGGGGCAGGCAGGCAGGGTGGGGCGGGCAGGGTGGGGCGGGCAGGGCGGGGCGGGCAGGGTGGGGCGGGCAGGGCGGGACCTTCGTGAGAGCATGCCCCAGGCTGGCTCAGAGACCCCCCCCTCCCCGTGGTCCCGTGGTTAACAGCCCTCTGGCCTTTTCTGCTTCTCAGGACTTTGTCACTGCACTGTCCATTTTGCTGAGAGGAACTGTCCACGAGAAACTAAGGTGGACGTTTAACCTGTACGACATCAACAAAGACGGATACATAAACAAGGAGGTGAGCCACGAAGGGGCTGGGTCACGCAGCGAGCTCCTCCCCCGGGAGCTGGCAGCCCCCGGCTCAGGCCCAGGGCGGGGACGTGGGGGTGCACGCGGGAGGACCCGCTGTGGGAGGACCCACCGCAGGTCAGGGCGCAGGACCCACGGCAGGCAGCACCCGAGGAAGCAGTTCCCAGGGAAGACGAGCACCCTCGGCCCGCGCTGGCTGCCACCCACGCTGCCCCGGAATGGGAAGAAGAGGGTACTGCCGTCCTTCCAGGAACCGCCCTGAGCCGCCGCGGACCTCCACGCTGGACCCCACGGGCGTGGACGGGGCGGCCCTGTGCGTCTAGCTCCGGTCCCGCCTAGACATTGCTGTGTCTCACTGGAGTGTGAGAGCCATGCGCTGGGCTTCTGCCCACCAGACCTGACCTCAGCCCTGCCAGCGTCCGCTCTGGTCCACAGCTGACACTCAGAGCACACAGCCAGCCCCAGGCCTTGTTCTTGCAGTCCTGTGTCTGCTCTGTGCAGACTGAGGGCTTCTTCCCTGTCCCGGGTACAGGAGACACGGGAGGGCATCAGGCCGGGCCTGGTGCGGGGCAGCACAGACGCCAGACCTCGGCACGTGCACCCAGGGCTCTGGAAGGTGTTGCGCCACGGGAAGGGTCCGCGTGGGAGGAGAGCCGCCGAGGGGAGGTGCTGCGTGTGACTCAGACAGACAGAGCCGCCGTGGAGGAGCTGCCCGCGCCTGGCCAGTGACCACACGGACGCCATTTCTCTAAGGCACTCACGGCTAAAACTGACTCCAAGGTGGTAACAACACCCGAACGTCTCCATCATTTAGAGAAGTTGGATTCACAATTTAAAGTCTTTCCACCAGAGACGTGTTAGCCCACCCAGAAGGCTCTCTGGCAGATTCTAGTAATGATTGCTACTATGCTGTAGATAGATGTGGTAGAGAAGGCAGTACCAGAAATACCTTAATAATCAAACCAGGAAAAAGTGCTTAGAAGAAAACGATAAGCCACTCTTTCTCGTGAGCGGAGACACGATTCGCTTCAGCCAACCGGATGCAAGTTAATCACAGTGATATAGAAAGAGCTGGAAATCTATCCACGGCCGAGCGGGGGCTGTTATTTGAGGGATGCAGAGCTGGTTTAACAAAGACGTCACTGTAAGTCACCGAGTCACCAGAATGTCAAGACAGACAAGACGTTAGAGCAGTAAATGCACACTTCCTTGGCAAAAAGCCGACCCCTGTGCCAGTCAGCAGCCAGCAGTCTGGGAGTCAAGCGGCTTTCCAGTCTGATCAAGGACATCTTCCCTGGCCTAGCCACCAGCATCCACGCGATGGTGGAAGAAGTCAGGGTTGAAACCAGGAATTTGAGGCCAGAAAAAGCAAATGGAATCCATGGGCTAGAGTAGGAATGGAGGATAAAAGCTGTCTTTATCTGTAAAGATAGGTCTGTATGCACAGAACAGTCTAAAGAGTCTACAAAGAAACTAGAAAGAACAGATGAGCTTAAGAAAGTAACAGTGCACGAATTCTATTTACAAAACTCACAGTTCTACCTGCGTAATTAACAAAACAATTGAAAAAATAACTGAAAAATTTCCCTTAAAATAGCTTCAAAATAGCTTGTGGCAGATTCAGACACACGTGGAAAACATCGTGCACACGGGGCAGAAGACACAGCCTAAGGATCAAACTCAACCTCTAGGTTCACAGCAGCCATGCCCCAAGTCCCTCCAGGCTTCTGCAGCGTGACCTGAAATGCGTGTGAGCATGCCAAGCGCCCACAGTGGCCAGGGCACACGCGGCAGGACACGGGAGCAGGGCTACTGCATGTGCACCCGACGGGATGGCTGGCGAGGAGGTGCCCGCACAGCTCAGTCGATCAGCATAGACCACAGTGAGTGTGATCGCCAGTGAGAGCCAACCCGGGAGAAGGAAGGAGGCCCAGACGGTGGCCGTGGCCGGGAGTTCGGCCAGACGGTGGCCGTGGCCAGGAGTTCGGCCAGACGGTGGCCGTGGCCGGGAGTTCGGCCAGTCCTGCTGCAGCCATGTCGATCTCAGTGTCGGCCACTTTTCTCTGGGTCGTGGAGGAAGCAGGGTGGGAAGTAGGCCTGGGTACACTCTGCGATTGCTGGAACTTCTCTGAAAGCCTGAAATTACTCACAGAGGCGGAGCGAGATCTCCAGGGCGCGCTGGCAGTCCTGACATCGGCCCCGCTTCCCGGCTGATTTCCGCGCGGCACCCGTGGAGGTTTAATCCGTCAGAGCCTTCGCTCCTCTGATTCTGAGGAGTGTTTGACCTGCCCTGCGTGTGGGTGGGGGGCGCGTGTGGCCCCCTCGCCCCGCACAGCGCTCCCTGGGCCCCTGGGGTCCCCCCCCCCCCGCAGGCGGCCGGGTCTGGGCAGCTTTCTGACCCCTTCCACCTGCTGAGCCAGGCGAGGGGAGGGGGCGCCGCGCGGTCACCTCACGCGCCCTCCGTGTGTCCCAGGAGATGATGGGCATCGTCAAGGCCATCTACGACATGATGGGGAAGTACACCTACCCCGTGCTCAAGGAGGACACGCCCCGGAGGCACGTGGACGTCTTCTTCCAGGTGAGCCACGCACCCGCCGGGCCGGCGCTCGCACGGGGGCCGAGCACGGGGCTGGCCTGACGCTCGCACGGGGGCCACGCACCCGCCGGCCCGACGCTCGCACGGGGGCCATGCACAGAGCCGGCCAGACGCTTGCACGGGGCCGGCCCGACGCTCGCACGGGCGCCATGCACAGGGCCGGCCCAACGCTTGCACGGTGGTGGCCCGACGCTCGCACGGGCGCCACGCATGGGGCCGGGCCGGCGCTCGCAGAGGTGAGCCACGCACCCGCCGGCCCGACGCTCGCACGGGCGCCATGCATGGGGCCGGCCAGACGCTTGCACGGGGGTGGCCCGACGCTCGCACGGGCACCATGCACGGGGCCGGCCAGACGCTTGCACGGGGGCGGCCCGACGCTTGCACGGGGGCGGCCCGACGCTCGCATGGGCACCATGCACGGGGCCGGCCAGACGCTTGCACGGGCCGGCCCGACGCTCGCACGGGCGCCACGCACGGGGGCGGCCCGACGCTCGCACGGGCGCCACGCACGGGCCGGCCCGACGCTCGCACGGGCGCCATGCACAGAGCCGGCCCGACGCTCACACGGGCGCCACGCACGGGGCCAGCCAGACGCTTGCACGGGCGCCACGCACGGGCCGGCCCGACGCTCGCACGGGCGCCACGCACGGGGCCAGCCAGACGCTCGCACGGGCGCCACGCACGGGCCGGCCCGACGCTCGCACGGGCGCCACGCACGGGGGCGGCCCGACGCTCGCACGGGCGCCATGCACGGAGCCGGCCCGACGCTCGCACGGGCGCCACGCACGGGCCGGCGTGTGCTGCTGTGAGATGCACAAACCCCTCAGAAGGGCTGGGAGGAGCTGCGTGGGCAGAGAAGATTCCAGCAATCCCAAGAGTCAGCAGGGGGCCCCAGCGACGCTGTCTGGAACGGGAGTGAGGGCGGGTGGGAATGGCAGAGCGGTGCCTCATACCACGCAGCCCCCAGAGCTGCCCGGTCAGCGACAGAGTCGAGCCTCGGCCGCCGGCGCCCTCCCTGCGGGTCCCCCCTGGACACCGCAGCCCTCGCGGTCCCTGTGAACAGTGAGGGGATCTTTGGAGGCGGGCGGGTGGGGATCAGGTGGTGGGGACTCAGTCCTGGGGTGCTGGGTCAAGGCTGTGCCCGGCTGAGGGTGAGCGGTGCAGGGAGCAGGCCTGGGCCCCCCGCACACCTCCCCCCCTCGCCCGCACCCCAAGGCCCCGCCGGAGCCCACAGAGGGCCGCACCAGGCTCCCGGCCTCCAGCTGCGAACCGTGAGCTCAGCCAGCTCCTTTTCCTTACCAACAACCAGCCTTGTGCGCTTTGTGCCAAAGCAGGAAACAGGCCAACACCAAGCACGGGGGTGCGGGAAGCGTGGGCCGCAGTGTGGGGAGAACTGATCCGTTGGCTGGTTTGGTTTGCCTGTGGGCCTCAGGGCTCCAGACCCGGCTGGAGCAGCCTCGTTCTCGGGACCCGCGGCAGGCGCTGCCTGCAGACCCCCGTTCTTTCCACACTTCCTTCTGTGTCTTTCAGAAAATGGACAAAAATAAGGATGGCATCGTGACGTTAGATGAATTCCTGGAGTCCTGTCAGGAGGTAAGGGGGGACCAGGCATAGCACCCCAAAGTCTGGGAAGGAAAGCCTGCCATACTGTCTCCTCCAGACACCGCCCTCACATGCCACAGGCCCGGCCATCTCCGCTCCCCGCCGGCCCGTGGCTGACCTGCTCCCAGCAGGGCTGAGCAGACGGACAAGTCCACGTCTGTTGGGAGGTACAGATCCATTGAGGTACAGATCCAGGAGACAAAGCGGCTTCCCAGGGGCAGCTCCCGCCTGCCCCTGGTTTTACTACCTCCTGCTCCCTCTTGTCAGACCCCAAGGGAACAGCTGGAAAACCCAAATCTATGAGCTCTCAATCCGGATGTGAGTCCGGGCTGAACCCAGGGCTTCCCACACGCTCGGCAAGTGCCTCTCACCTGCACCATGCCCCGGCCCTTCCGCTCGAATCTGGTTTTGAGACGGGGTCTCATCATGAGCAGGATACGATAAAGACACCTTTACACCCCTGTGCACAACAGCCAAGAAATGGAAATGACCCAGATGCCCCCCAACCAACGAAGGGATCCCCAAAATGTGGTCCCTACACACAGTGAAATTGTGCACGGCCATTAGAAGGAACAGGGTCATTTGTGGGGAAATCGATGGACCTAGAACAACTCGTGTTCACTGATTTAAGCCCAGCTCAGAGACACAAACAGTGCATATTTTCTCTCATATGTGGAAGCTAGATCTAAAACACACCAGGACAGGATAAATTATGTCTAAGCATTCGCACTCAGAGCGCCGAAGGAGGGGACTGAGGGGAGGAACAGAGAGGTGCAATGCGTTTGTGCCTCTGATGCTATAAAACGGTATTTATTGAAATGAATTCCAGGAAATGGAAACAAGAGTTTTCCTTAAAAAAAAAAAAAAAAAAGGCTTAGCCGGCTGATAGAATGCAATACGGTGGCGTGGACGCGGAGATTGTCTTCCGGATCTCTGAAGGCCTGAGAGGAGCTTCCTGCCTGGGCTGGGGGGGGGGGGGGGGATGCCCATGAAGGCGGGGGGACGCCCGCGCAGGGGCCCCCAGGGGACCCAGGCTCTAGCCAGCGGCTCTCCCTCCTCTCTTCCCAGGACGACAACATCATGAGGTCTCTCCAGTTGTTCCACAGCGTCATGTGACTGGGCAGTCCGCGCCCGCCCTCAGAGACACCACTAAACCCCCTTGTTCCGATTCCACACACCGACTCTTGGCACAGACAACACCTTTTACACTTCGGACACTCTCTAGGAAGCCCGGTGTGGCGGGGCCCCTCTCCGCCCCCTTCTCCTCCGCCCGTCTTGAGAGAGCCACGCTGAGACTGGAGTTTGTTCTGGAAGCATGCCGCCTCTCCCCGCCGCCCTGTGGCGGCCCCTGCTCGCGCTTGTACCGCGGTGCCCAGCTCGCGTCCACCCCACTGCCGCCACTGCGCGGGCAGACCCTGCAAAGCAGGCAGCCAGGCCCGAGCCAGACACGAGCCAGACCGGAGCCAGACCCACGCCGCCTCTGAAGCCTCCAGACCAGCGCGCCTGCTGCTCTTCCCGCGGGGGGACGGGGGCGCTGTGGGAGCAGTCGAACCCAGGGCTCGGACTGGACACAGGTAGGATAGACCGACGACCAAGCACGGCGCCACCTGCCCGCCCACGGCCCACCTCGTTGGTCTGCAGAGGTCAAGACCAGTCATTCGCCCATTCTAGCATCTGGGCCCGCGTGCGAGTCCCTTCCCGTCCCCATCCAGCCACCCCTCCTCCCGGGCCTCCGCCCCATCCCCGCCCCCCCGGGCTGCATGCCCCGCCCAGGACGCCCACATGCCTGCAAAATGCTGTAATTTTATACCATGTTCTATCCAATAAACACACTATTTCTTACGCCGTCCATTGTTCCTTCCATGACTGCACTGGAGGAGAGGCGGTCCGTCCACCGGCCTCCGTCCGCTGTTGGCACCCAGGCTGTGCAGGCTCCGGGGCCCCGCCCAGGGCCCGCACCCCATCGCGGGCACACGCGGAGACCACGCACAAGCTCACCTTCGCAGGAGACCCTCCACGTCCCGCCGCGAGTCCTGCGTGCTACGCGCTGCCCACGGAGGAGGAGGGCAAGGGAGCCGGCCCTGCCGGCGGGAGACGGGGGAGGGAGGGAGACTGCGGGAACTCCACGGCCCCCCGGCCGCCCAGCAGGGCCGCGCCCCACGCCCGTGCCGTCTGGCACAAGCGGGAAGTAAAAGGCACCCAAATTCGGAGGACAGAGTCAGACCATCGCTGTGGAAAGTGTGATGGGGTCCAGCAACAAATGCCCACAGCTAACGGGCGAGCTGAGTGGGAGCACGGGCGGTGAGATCCACTTCACACCAGGTGAGATCCACTCCACGCCAGAGACTCACGGCGGCGCCTCATGCCGAAGCCGGCGTTCCTGGCCAGCCTGCGGTGCCCTCCTGATTGGGGTTTGCGATAAGCGATCCTCATCTCAACACAGAAATTGAAAGGAAAGGCACAACAGCACTCACAGCATCGAAAATAATTCTCAGGGACAAAAGCGACTCGTTCAATGCTATCCATCACTGATCTGCACAGCAGAGGCGTGGGGCCGGGTCTGGGTGAGGCGGCCCTGTTCCCGGGGCAGGACACAGTGTGTGGGGGTCGCCACCCCGAGGCCTGGCTGGGGGGGAGGGGGAGGACACAGCCCTCTCTAAGGCCCTGATGGAGGAGGAGGAGGGGGAGGGGGAGGAGCAGGAGGAGAAGGAGGACAAGGAGGAGAAGGGGGAGGAGCAGGAGGAGGAGGAGGGGGAGGACAAGGAGGAGGAGGAGAAGGATGAGGAGGAGGAGGAGGAGGAGGAAGAGGAGGACGAGGAGAAGGGGGAGGAGGGGGAGGAGCAGGAGGAGGAGGGGGAGGAGCAGGAGGAGGAGGAGGAGGAAAAGGAGGAGAAGGGGGAGGAGGGGGAGGAGCAGGAGGAGGAGGGGGAGGAGCAGGAGGAGGAGGGGGAGGAGGACAAGGAGGAGGAGGAGAAGGAGGACAAGGAGGAGAAGAGGGAGGAGGGGGAGGAGCAGGAGGAGGAGGAGCAGGAGGAGGGGGAGGAGGAGGAGGAGGAGGAGGACAAGGAGGAGGAGGAAGAGGAGGAGGACAAGGAGGAGGAGGAGGAGGAGGAGGAGGAGGACAAGGAGGAGGAGCGGGAGGAGGAGGGGGAGGAGGAGCAGAAGGAGGGGGAGGAGGGGGAGGAGGACAAGGAGGAGGAGCGGGAGGAGGAGGGGGAGGAGGAGCAGGAGGAGGGGGAGGAGGAGGAGCAGGAGGAGGAGGGGGAGGAGGAGCAGGAGGAGGGGGAGGAGGGGGAGGAGGACAAGGAGGAGGAGCGGGAGGAGGAGCAAGAGGAGGGGGAGGAGGGGGAGGAGGAGCAGGAGGAGGGGGAGGAGGGGAAGGAGGACAAGGAGGAGGAGCGGGAGGAGGAGCAAGAGGAGGGGGAGGAGGAGGAGCGGGAGGAGGAGGGGGAGGAGGAGCAGGAGGAGGGGGAGGAGGAGCAGGAGGAGGGGGAGGAGGAGCAGGAGGAGGGGGAGGAGGGGGAGGAGGACAAGGAGGAGGAGGGGGAGGAGGAGCAGGAGGAGGGGGAGGAGGGGGAGGAGGAGCAGGAGGAGGAGGGGGAGGAGGAGGAGCGGGAGGAGGAGGGGGAGGAGGAGCAGGAGGAGGGGGAGGAGGAGCAGGAGGAGGGGGAGGAGGGGGAGGAGGACAAGGAGGAGGAGGGGGAGGAGGAGCAAGAGGAGGGGGAGGAGGGGGAGGAGGAGCAGGAGGAGGGGGAGGAGGGGGAGGAGGACAAGGAGGAGGAGCGGGAGGAGGAGCAAGAGGAGGGGGAGGAGGAGGAGCGGGAGGAGGAGGGGGAGGAGGAGCAGGAGGAGGGGGAGGAGGAGCAGGAGGAGGGGGAGGAGGAGCAGGAGGAGGGGGAGGAGGACAAGGAGGAGGAGGGGGAGGAGGAGCAGGAGGAGGGGGAGGAGGGGGAGGAGGAGCAGGAGGAGGAGGGGGAGGAGGAGGAGGAGGAGGAGGAGGAGGACAGCAGGCAGTTCCGAGCCCTGGCCATGGCCTGTCCTTCTACTGGCTCCTGGGGCCGCACTGCCCCAAGCCTGTCAGGCTGGCTCACCTAGGAGGATCTGGGACCTTGGGGAGGAGGAAGGACACGGGAAAGGGAGGAGGGAGGGTGGGAAGGACAGGGAGGCAGAGGGCAGCAGGAGGGAGGGCGTGGAGGAGAGAGGACAGGGACTCCTGGGCCGATCGCCTGCAGGGCAAGTTCTCACCACAAGATGGCGCCGACCGCTGGGGCTGCTGGGGCTCAGGCTCAGGACTCAGGCCCCGCATTCCCACACTTCCCAACACACAGGGTCACGGCTGCCCCTGGGTGCCCATGTCCATGTCCACGGCCCTCGTGAGACCCCGACACACCTCCCCAGGAGAGAGCCAAGCCCCAGCCAGGAAGGTGGAGAGCCCAACCCTCAACAGCAGGAACACACTGCTGTGCCGGGACAAGGCCGATCTGTGCCCAGAGGGCTGCCAAGGAGGAGCAGGGTCTGTGTGTGTGTGAGGAGCGGGGTCTGTGTGTGTGTGAGGAGCGGGGTCTGTGTGTGTGTGAGGAGCGGGGTCTCTGTGTGTGTGAGGAGCGGGGTCTGTGTGTGTGTGAGGAGCGGGGTCTGTGTGTGTGTGAGGAGCGGGGTCTGTGTGTGTGTGAGCAGCGGGGTCTGTGTGTGAGGAGCGGGGTCTGTGTGTGTGTGAGGAGCGGGGTCTGTGTGTGTGTGAGGAGCGGGGTCTGTGTGTGTGTGAGGAGCGGGGTCTGTGTGTGTGTGAGGAGCGGGGTCTGTGTGTGTGTGAGGAGCGGGGTCTGTCTGTGTGTGAGGAGCGGGGTCTGTGTGTGTGTGTGAGGAGCGGGGTCTGTGTGTGTGTGAGCAGCGGGGTCTGTGTGTGTGTGAGGAGCGGGGTCTGTGTGTGTGTGAGGAGCGGGGTCTGTGTGTGTGTGAGCAGCGGGGTCTGTGTGTGTGTGAGGAGCGGGGTCTGTGTGTGTGTGAGGAGCGGGGTCTGTGTGTGTGTGAGGAGCGGGGTCTGTGTGTGTGTGAGCAGCGGGGTCTGTGTGTGTGTGAGGAGCGGGGTCTGTGTGTGTGTGAGGAGCGGGGTCTGTGTGTGTGTGAGGAGCGGGGTCTGTGTGTGTGTGAGGAGCGGGGTCTGTGTGTGTGTGAGGAGCGGGGTCTGTCTGTGTGTGAGGAGCGGGGTCTGTGTGTGTGTGAGGAGCGGGGTCTGTGTGTGCGTGAGGAGCGGGGTCTGTGTGTGCGTGAGGAGCGGGGTCTGTGTGTGTGTGAGGAGCGGGGTCTGTGTGTGTGTGAGCAGCGGGGTCTGTGTGTGTGTGAGGAGCGGGATCTGTGTGTGTGTGAGGAGCGGGGTCTGTGTGTGTGTGAGCAGCGGGGTCTGTGTGTGTGTGAGGAGCGGGTTCTGTGTGTGAGGAGCGGGGTCTGTGTGTGTGTGAGGAGCGGGGTCTGTGTGTGTGTGAGGAGCGGGGTCTGTGTGTGTGTGAGGAGCGGGGTCTGTGTGTGAGCAGCGGGGTCTGTGTGTGTGTGAGGAGCGGGATCTGTGTGTGTGTGAGGAGCGGGGTCTGTGTGTGTGTGAGGAGCGGGGTCTGTGTGTGTGTGAGGAGCGGGGTCTGTGTGTGTGTGAGGAGCGGGGTCTGTGTGTGTGTGAGGAGCGGGGTCTGTGTGTGTGTGAGCAGCGGGGTCTGTGTGTGTGTGAGGAGCGGGGTCTGTGTGTGAGCAGCGGGGTCTGTGTGTGTGTGAGGAGCAGGGTCTGTGTGTGTGTGAGGAGCGGGGTCTGTGTGTGAGGAGCGGGGTCTGTGTGTGTGTGAGGAGCGGGGTCTGTGTGTGTGTGAGGAGCGGGGTCTGTGAGTGTGTGAGGAGCGGGGTCTGTGTGTGTGTGAGCAGCGGGGTCTGTGTGTGTGTGAGGAGCGGGGTCTGTGTGTGTGAGCAGCGGGGTCTGTGTGTGTGTGAGGAGCGGGGTCTGTGTGTGTGTGAGCAGCGGGGTCTGTGTGTGTCTGAGGAGCGGGGTCTGTGTGTAAGGAGCGGGGTCTGTGTGTGTGTGAGCAGCGGGGTCTGTGTGTGTGTGAGCAGCGGGGTCTGTGTGTGTGTGAGCAGCGGGGTCTGTGTGTGTGTGAGGAGCGGGGTCTGTGTGTGTGTGAGGAGCGGGGTCTGTGTGTGTGTGAGGAGCGGGGTCTGTGTGTGTGTGAGGAGCGGGGTCTGTGTGTGTGTGAGGAGCGGGGTCTGTCTGTGTGTGAGGAGCGGGGTCTGTGTGTGTGTGTGAGGAGCGGGGTCTGTGTGTGTGTGAGCAGCGGGGTCTGTGTGTGTGTGAGGAGCGGGGTCTGTGTGTGTGTGAGGAGCGGGGTCTGTGTGTGTGT